TGTCCGCAAGGAGTGTCTGTTTAGATACTGAGTTAGAATCAATTATATGAACAAAACCATGGTTTGTTTAAAAAAAAAAAATTCCAAACGCATTTATTTCCTTGTAATCAATTATTAGAAGCCAAACTCCGTTTTCCTTTAAGCAGCTTGAAGTAGCTTATCAATTTTGATTTTATTGTCACGCCTGTTTATTATTTGTCAGAAATATTAGCTTCCCAAATATACCCCTGCCCTTGCTTGTGCTAGTGTCTGGCTTTCCATTGCTTATATTCTTAAATCTTACTGCATTCGTAGAAAAATATAAAATAATTGTTGAAGGATTAAATATTTAAAAATATAAGATATTTTTAATCTTTTAAGATGTAATTATTATCTTTTTTAAAAGTGTTCCTATTGAATAAATTATTTTATATTTATTTTAGAGTCAAACACCCTATTAAATAGAGGTAAATATAAAAAGATGTGGCTAATTTAAAAACAATAAACTACTTTATTAAAGGATAAAATTTAATTAAAAATATCTTATATTTTTAATAGAAGAAATATATTCTTCTCTAGCTTGCCTGTTTACAATTAATCTTTGAACCTATTACAGATATGTTGGAGGAAAAAAAGTATATAGTTATTTTTTATTATTATAATTATATATATGTAACAACATGTACAATTTTATTTCACACTTTTTATAAAATATTAATTTTATAAAATTATCAAATTAATATTTACTTACAATTTAACTTCTATGAATTTTTATGATTTGTTTGGATCAAAGAAAATGAAAGGGAGGTGGGATTTTAAATAGAGTTAAAATATAAATCTATCCTACACAACTAATATCTTAAAACATTTAAAAGTATAATACCATCTCAATATTTTTCAAAATGAAATAATCTTGCCTTGCTGTAAAGCTCATGATGGTTGTTAAATTGTATTGTTCATAGTATTGAAACCCAAACTGAACCGATTGAGTCAACCTAAAAGCTGGTGACCCGATTCCTTGTCCAGTCTAGGTTTACTCCCAAACCGGTGAGGGAATGAACTAATGTAACCCGATCAACCCGGGTTCAACCTGGATAATCTGATGGGTTGATTGGGTTAATCGGGTTATTTTTTTTAGACAGAACCCCTAAAACAATGTCATTTTGGAGGTTTTTTTTTCATTTTAAATTTTTCAAAGCGCTAAGTTTGAAAATAAGATAACAAAAAAAAAGTTAAACTGAAGTCAAAAAATAAAAAATTAAAGGCAAAAAACGTTAAGTCCAATCTAAATTTCTAAACAGCATTCAATTCGGCCTTTCGTCTGTGTCTCTCTCCTCTATTGTCTTAACCTAATCAACGTCTCTTCTCCAACTCAGTCTCTGTCTTTTCTCCAGGCTTCAACTCTATCTCTATCTATTCTCTAGTTCAGTCTCTAACTTTTCGTCTCTTTTCCAACTCTATCTCCATCTTTGCTATTTCCGTCTCTTCTTCAGCTTAGTTTCCGTCTCTTCTCCAGCTCTGTCTCCATCTCTTCTCTAGATTTTTAAGATTAAAGGGTTGTAATTCTAAGGATAAATATTTAAAGTGTTGTATTTTATTATTGTTAGACTTTTAAGTGGTTGGATTTGATTGAATGTTTTTATAATTAATGTCTTTTAATTTAAATTATATTATTTTAATTATGATTAATTTGTCACCGATTCAACCTTAATAAATGATAGAGCACAATGGCGTCTTACAATCCATGTAGCCGATCCCACCTAGTGGGATAAAGACTTATTATTATTGTTGGTTTATGATTAATTTATCACCGATTCAACTTTCAATTCAACCCAATTGAATCTCTAATTCATGACTCAGTATCATGATTGATCAAGTTTTACGTACCTTTGTATTGTTTGATCATATTCGATCAATGAACAGTGGATAAACAATGCAGTACCGATATTGCGCTCATGCCAAGCCTCTCATCCTAGCAATCTCTTTATCCTAGATATACAGTAAAAATGTTATATTTAATATTTTTGTTCTTTAAAAAACAAATCGTTTTTTAAAAGTATTTTTAATAATAAATTATTAAAATATATTTATTAAAAATTAAAAACATAAAAATTTATTTTTAATATTTTTATTTTTGTGAATTTTATGAAATTCTTAATTTTTTTAATTTATCTTTTTATTTTATATTGTTTTAAATGACTCATAACTGCACATTATATATAGGTTAATAAATTCTGAGTTATAGTATGTTGTTAAAATATTTGCACATTTATTACACTTAATATTTTTATTGTTTTCAAAAAATATATTTTTAAAAATATTTTTAATCATAAATTATTAAAATATATTTATTAAAAAATTAACAACATAAATTTTTTTAACATTTTTATTTTAGCTTTTTATTTTTTGAATTTTATGAAATTCTTAGATTTTTAATTTATATTTTATTTTTAAAATTTTTTAAATGACTTCTGATTTCCACAAATAGATCTTTTGGTTCCCAGATTTTTTTAAATGACTTACAACAATGCATTTCGCATGGGGTAATAAATTATTAGCTATAGTATGTTGTTAAATTTTTTACTTCTCACGAATAGTAAATTACTAAACACTTCTTTTCATTATTATTTAGATTAAGTTTTAAATTGAACAAGGTGAAAGATTATAGAATAAAATAAGGTATTAGTTGTAATTTTAACATGTATCAAAATAAAAAAATTATAGAATAAAACAAGTTGTTTATTATATTTTTAATTTTAATTTTTAATTTGCAAGGGATAATAAATTTTGAATTGCAGGTTGCTACTAATATTTTTTTTAATATGCATTTTGAGTTGACAAATTTTATATATTGTTTATACTTTGATGAGTTTAGTATTAAAAAATTGAGAAATATGGCTGAAAGTTTTTAATTGATTTTTCTTTTTTTTCTCTTTCATTTTTCCTCTGTTAAAATGTTATAATTCTACTTGCCTATATTTTTAAATCAAATTAAAATCTCTCCTTCCACCCTCTACTTTTCTCAAACTAAGTAAAAAATTAATATCTCCCATTCATTACATGAAGTCATTTACCTTTTATTGTATAATTCTCATCATTTGAGTAACTCTCTCCTCTCTCTTTCTTTTTTTTTTTTATTTTTCATATTTTTTTTCATTATATAAACTTTTATGCAATAATGGTTTGGTGTATGTGAGATAAAAAGTAATCAATAAGATATAAATTTTATTTTTTAAATATCTCATGTCTTTTTTATAAATAAAATAAAAGCCCATTAAAATTTAAATTGTTTCATTTTATTTTCTCACCATTAAAATTTTTTAACTATGGCTATTTTCATTTATTAAAAGAGAGACTTTTTTTTTTTACATATTCTCTTGTACATTAGAATCTATAAAATTGTTATATAATTACATTTGCATGCTTTAAATAAATGATATAATCATCATAAAATAATAAAATAATATATAAGTAATTAATATTAAATAAATGAGAAAATAATATAAGTTGAAGATTCTGCTTAACAAATTTAAAAAACTATTACAGTAATATGCAGTAGATTAATATTTTTAAAATTATAATATTTTAAAATCTTTCCTGTGTACATATTGCACAAGGACAAATTCTAATTATACTAAAATTTGGCATGCCACATCAGTTAACACATCAGATGCGAATACTTAAAAAATAATCAAAAATTGAAAGAGGAAAAATCAAATCATCTGCGTTCATTCCAATTACCAGAACTCAAACCCAATCTTCATTTTCCACCTTCATCAACCATCATCAAAACAAATCATCCAGAATAGGAAGATCAAAAAAAATTTAGAAAATGAACAGACTACGCTAATTGCTAAAAGCAGCCAACAAAACAAAACAAAATAATCCAATTAATCAATAACTACAAGAAATCATGCTATGAATTTCGAAAATCATTAAACTAAACTAATTACTAGAAACAGCCACCAAGGTCCAGGTCTAAAATCAAACTAAAATCATCAATCTGAACTAGCAAATTTGCAAGGAAAAACAAGCTTGAAATCAAAGGCACACAGGTGCAAGGGATGGATCTGGGGTTTTACTTCGCACGCAGGGGATGTTTTTTTCAAAGCAATTCAGAGGTTTACTTCACACGCACCTAGCCCGCCGAATTCCAAGATTATGGTGACTTGGGCGTGAAACATTTTAAGCACTGGCACACCGGAGATAGCGAGTAGAATCTGTTTCGTTCAACACCTATCTTGTCAATACAGAACTATATCAAAGGTTGAACAGGGTAGCAGTACTTGTCCTCATCATCTGGTTTACTCGCGTCCATCCTCCTAAATCTCCCGTGCTTGTCCATCACCGTCGCCATCGCTCGCATTCTTCTTCAGAGGGCCTGCCGTCTCAGAGTCAGTAAGATTACGAGAGAAAGAAGACGAGAAAAGATGAGGAGGCCATGAGTGGGTGATCCAGATCTGGGGGAAAACATGAAGCCATGGCTGGGAAGAGGAAGATCAGGCAGATGGGAAGATGGGAAGCTGAGGAGGAAGCTATTGAACATGGGAAGAGGAAGCACGACATGATTGAAGAGCCAAAAGCCACGTGTTATTTTCTTTAATTTTTTTTCATAAATGCTATGTGGCAGATGATAGTGAACTTAATAGTCAAAGTTTAATTCTATTAGTTAAGGGTGGGATTGTTCAATTTTGAAAAGCGCACATTGCGCCTATAAATACTTTAACATATTAATTACGTCTCTTAAAAACATGAGGGACATAATTATATTTTAGCCTTTTTAAATATTAGTGACTTTAATTTTAGACAAATGGAGAATTATGGTTAGAAATTTTTTAATTAATTTTTTAGTTTTTATATTTCTCAAATACAATTTTATAATATATTTGCCCTTTTTTAAAAAAAATTATAATAAAATTTTACGCCCTTTTTTTTTTTTTACCCCTCGTTGCAAATGACGTTTTCCATCTAAACGATAAAACGGAAGAGGTTTCTTTCCATAAATTGGAGGCCTCGGACGGACGTGATACGCTGATACTGCAAGTCTACAGCACTTTCACGTCTCTCTTGAAATCAAATCTTTTATCTCTTTCTCTTCGTCGTCACGGAGGCGAAGTAGCTACTCGAACTTATTCACTTTCCTCCGTACTTTTCCGTGCAGAGATCACAAGGAACATTTTAGCTTCGAACCTACGAGATCTTCATCCGTGCACTCACGAGATTTCACTTTTCTATCCTCTCGAACCAGAAGGACTCGCTTTCAGTGCTTTTGATCACGAGAGTTATCTACTTTCTGGGTCATCTTGGTCGAATTGGCTGGTTTAGAGAGACTAAGAAATAGAGCGGGTCAGTAAAGTGAGTGAGATAAAAAGTGAGATGGCGACTCGGCACCTTGAGAAAATGGCCTCAATTGATGCTCAATTGAGGTTACTGGCACCTGCGAAGGTGTCCGATGATGACAAGTTGGTCGAGTATGACGCTTTGCTGCTGGATCGCTTCCTTGATATTCTTCAGGATTTGCATGGAGAAGACATCAGAGAAACGGTACTTTCATTTCCACTTCTTCACGATTCTTGCTAGTTTAGTTTTGTGGTCTTGCATAGATCGATCCTGTTCTTTTGCTCAATTTAACTGATGTCCCAAACCACACTTCCCTTTTTTTTTTTTCGTGGGAGCAATGAACTTTTTTGGTCTCTTAACATGCCCAGGTGACGAGAAGCTGCATCTGGTTTAGATTTGAGATTGGTTTATATGATTAGTAGATGTCATTTGACAAAGTCCCTATTTTCATTTATTTCAGTTTCAGATGCGTTTTGGTCCAGGACTTGTGTGTTTGAGCTGAAATGGACTAATTCTGTAATTTTTATGAATGGATTAGGTCCAAGAGTGTTATGAAAGGTCAGCTGAGTACGAAGGGAAGCATGACACTCAGAAGTTGGAGGAACTTGGGAATATGCTAACTGGACTTGATGCTGGGGACTCCATTGTTGTTGCCAAATCATTTTCTCACATGCTTAATTTGGCCAATTTGGCAGAGGAGGTTCAGATTGCATATAGAAGAAGGATCAAGTTGTTGAAGAAGGGTGATTTTGCGGATGAGAACTCTGCCATCACTGAATCAGATATTGAAGAGACCTTCAAGAGGCTTGTGAACCAACTAAACAAGACCCCAGAGCAAGTCTTTGATGCCTTGAAGAGCCAGACTGTTGATTTGGTCTTAACTGCTCACCCTACTCAGTCTGTTCGTCGATCTTTGCTTCAAAAGCATGGAAGGTTTGTTTATCTCTTATTTCGTTCCTTAATCGCGAGTAGTCAATAGAGTAATTATGGTGGCCCATCGTTTTTTAATCTATTAATTAGCATGAGTATGCAGTAAAGGAGAAAATTGTGAATAGACATTTTGGTGCTTGACAGCTGCACATTGTCTTAATTTTGTCCCCCACAGGTTGAAGGTCTTATTTTAATTCTCGAAAGAAAAGATAAACTGTAATGACAGAACATAGTAATATGCACATACGACAAATCCATTATTTCTAGTACTGTGGCGATCTCTGTGCAAAACTGCAGAAGAATAATTATCAATCTGGTCGACAATCATTGTTTTTCTATTTCAGGATAAGGGATTGTTTGACTCAGTTATATGCCAAAGACATAACACCTGATGATAAGCAGGAACTTGATGAGGCTTTGCAAAGAGAGGTGCATAGATGTTAACCGTTGAATACTGTCTTCTTGTCACCATATACATTATATGATCCACATAGATCAGTGCCAACATCCGCATGATTCCTCAGTTAGTTTGCAATCGCTTAAAATCTTTTTTTTTTTTCTTTTTTAATTGTTATGCAGATTCAAGCTGCATTTCGTACGGATGAAATTCGAAGGACTCCTCCTACCCCACAAGATGAGATGAGGGCAGGAATGAGCTACTTCCATGAGACAATCTGGAAGGGTGTACCAAAGTTTTTGCGTCGGGTTGACACAGCTTTGAAGAACATTGGAATAAATGAGCGTGTCCCATATAATGCTCCTGTCATTCAATTCTCTTCTTGGATGGGAGGGGATCGTGATGGTATCTTTCTTCTTCCTTGTTATTCAATTACATAGCAATTATCTCTTTTAACCTTCTGAAGTTTTCTTTCTCTGTATGTGTTCAACATATCTGATGCTTCATGTTTTCTTCATCCATTACGTCTCTTGCATGCCATTAGAGGCTGATTTTTCTTGCGCCTCTGTGTCTAATGTGCATTATAGGGAACCCCAGAGTTACCCCTGAGGTTACGAGGGATGTGTGCTTATTGGCCAGAATGATGGCTGCTAATTTATATTTCTCTCAAATTGAGGATCTCATGTTTGAGGTATCAATATACTGTTCTCTCTTGCTTATTAATATCATGACCATACTTTGCAAGAAGGTTATTGTTCTTACCTGTTACACATGTCATGTTTCAGTTGTCCATGTGGCGGTGCAATGATGAGCTCCGTGTTCGTGCTGATCAACTCCATGGATCCTCTAAGAGAGATGCTAAACATTATATTGGTATGAAATAATGAAATCGTTTTTTTCTGAATGAGACTTATGAACAATTGATATATCCGTTGAAAATGTAGTTTCAATTGGCCTTGAATATGACCAGAATCAATGCTTCATTGCTGCAGAGTTTTGGAAACAAATTCCTCCAAATGAGCCATATCGTGTTATTCTAGGTGATGTGAGGGACAAATTATATAATACACGTGAACGTGCTCGCCACATTTTAGCCCATGGAAACTCTGACATTGCTGAAGAGACAACCTTCACAAATGTTGAGCAGGTACTGTCCTTACAACAGTTTCAACCATCTGACATTGTAAAGAGACAACCTTTATGTTACTACAAGTACTAGAATTTGCATATTCCCATATCCTCCCTGTTTTTGTTTTGGTTCTTGATCAAAGAAATCTATTTCTTAGACATATAGACCATGATTTTTTGATCGATTATGCCTGCTTTTCTCGCACTTTGGATTTGTATAACGAGAAAATGGTGGCAATTTGTTGTAGTTCCTGGAGCCTCTGGAGCTCTGCTATAGGTCACTCTGTGCTTGTGGTGATCGTGCAATTGCTGATGGAAGCCTCCTTGATTTCTTAAGGCAAGTTTCTACATTTGGACTCTCAATTGTGAGACTTGACATCCGGCAAGAATCAGACAGGCACACTGATGTCATGAATGCCATCACACAACATTTGGACATTGGGTCTTACCGAGAATGGTCTGAGGAACGCAGGCAAGAATGGCTCTTATCTGAACTTAGTGGCAAGCGTCCCCTCTTTGGCCCTGACCTTCCCAAAACTGAAGAAATTGCTGATGTTTTAGAAACCTTCCATGTCATTTCAGAGCTTCCTTCAGATAGCTTCGGAGCCTACATCATCTCAATGGCAACAGCACCATCCGATGTGCTTGCCGTAGAACTTCTACAACGTGAATGTCATGTGAAAGAGCCTTTAAGAGTTGTCCCATTGTTTGAAAAGCTTGCTGATCTTGAAGCAGCACCAGCTGCAGTAGCTCGCCTATTCTCTATTGATTGGTACAGAAACCGGATCAATGGAAAGCAAGAGGTTATGATTGGATACTCAGATTCAGGTAAAGATGCTGGGCGCCTTTCAGCAGCTTGGGCACTGTACAAGGCTCAAGAAGAGCTGATACATGTTGCTAAAGAGTTTGGTGTGAAGCTTACGATGTTCCATGGCAGAGGAGGGACTGTTGGAAGAGGGGGAGGTCCTACTCATCTTGCTATATTGTCTCAGCCTCCAGAGACTATTCATGGGTCTCTTCGTGTGACAGTCCAAGGTGAAGTTATTGAACAGTCTTTTGGAGAGGAGCACTTGTGCTTTAGGACACTTCAGCGCTTCACTGCTGCTACACTCGAGCATGGAATGCACCCTCCTGTGTCGCCTAAACCAGAATGGCGTGCTCTCTTGGATGAGATGGCAATCATTGCCACAAAGGAGTATCGCTCCATTGTTTTCCAGGAACCACGCTTCGTTGAATACTTCAGATGTGTGAGTATTATTTTTAATCTATCTTAATTCTCTTCGAATTAGTTTTTGGCTAATAAGAATCTCCTTGTTTACCCTTTGTTGTTTTGGGAATTTTAGTGATTTAAACCCATGAACATACTTCCTTGTTATTCTAGGCTTTGCTGGTTCTAGCACTCCTTTTTTGTGAAGTATTTCCTTCTTTGTTGAGTTACAAAACTAATGACGATACTTATGGCCTCACAATTGTTTCTTGTTCTTATTGTAATAATGGAAAGTGCAGGCTACACCTGAGTTGGAGTATGGAAGAATGAACATTGGAAGTCGTCCATCAAAGAGAAAACCAAGTGGAGGGATTGAATCACTGCGAGCTATCCCATGGATATTTGCATGGACGCAGACAAGGTTTCATTTACCAGTGTGGCTTGGCTTTGGTGCAGCATTTAAGCATGCAATTGAGAAGGATCCTAGGAATCTCCAAATGCTTCAAGATATGTACAATCAGTGGCCGTTCTTCAGGGTCACTCTTGACCTGGTTGAGATGGTGTTCGCCAAGGGAGACCCAGGGATTGCTGCATTATATGATAAACTTTTAGTCTCAGGAGAACTGTTGTCATTTGGAGAGCGTCTAAGGGATAAATTTGAAGAAACCAAGAGTTTCCTCCTCCAGGTGCTAATGCAATTCATGACTTTGCTTGCTAGATTTCTCTTATTCCTGCTGCTGTTATTTTTAGGTATAAACAGCATGATGTTTCCAGTGATGAACATGGTTGGTATGAATGTTGTGCTGCAGATTGCGGGGCATAAAGATCTTCTGGAAGGGGACCCATACCTGAAGCAAAGACTGCGTCTTCGAGATTCATACATCACAACCCTGAACGTGTTGCAGGCATACACATTGAAGAGAATACGTGATCCGGACTACCACGTGAAGTTGAGGCCACACTTATCAAAGGAGTACATGGAATCAGGGAAGCCGGCGGCAGAACTTGTCAAGCTTAATCCTAAAAGCGAGTATGCTCCTGGTCTTGAGGATACCCTTATTTTGACCATGAAAGGCATTGCTGCTGGCATGCAGAACACTGGCTAAGCCATGCGTGTCTTTGCTTTTTCTTATGCCGAGGATATATAACTTCAAATATTGTTATCTATTTGGATTTGCATCAAAGTAACTATATTACCCTATATCCATATATAAATAAAGCCAGGCTTTGTCTTGTACTGCCAACTAGGTGCTGACGCCCTTCCGCATTTCTGTTTCTCTCAAATCTCGATCGCTTTATAGTTTTTTTTTTTTTTTTTGTTTTAATCGTTTATCTGATACCTGTCGCGGATCAGCCACCAATCCTTGTAGAGATTTTTATTGAAAGCTTAGCAATCTTAAGAATCTATTAATCATGGATTTAAGACTGACAAGTTTTTATGATTTATAAATAACTTGCTATCACGAGCATTTTTTCCTCAGTGTTGATGCTTAGTGTCCATGTAGAAAATCAGAATGGCCTGCTAGCACTTGTTATGCCTTCTGCCATTCTCTCTATTTTAATTTCAAGGCATATTTTGAAAAGTTCTATATGTTTTATTATGTAAGATATTTTGCGAATTTTTAAAAGACAATTAATGTTTTGTTTTCTAAAATTTCTATGAGGATATTAAAAGTAATTGCTTTCCTTCACTAATATGACCTAAGTTCCTTGCATTTAAAGGACAAAGTTGAAAAAAAAAATCAAAATCTTACTATATATTTGGTTTCTATTCTCATTTTTTTAAAAAAATTATTTTCTAATACAGTTTTTAAAATTATTTTTCAAAACAAAACAAAATAAAAATTTGTTTCGTTGTGTTAATTTAAAACCAATTTTGAAATTAAAAAAATTAATCAATAGTAATGGTTGCCAGTGGTTAATAGTTGTGATTTATGATCATCACTAATCAAGGTCACTATAATTTTTAATAATCACAAGTAACATTTTGAAAATAAAAAAAATGAGAATAATTTTAAGATATTTCTACTTTTTGGTATTTAAAAAAAAATAAGAATAGTTTTGGAAATGATTAGATTCAAAACATTTATCCAAACAAGCTTTTTAATTTTTTTTTATTTTTAAAAACAAAAAACCGTTCAAAAAACAAACAAACAAACACAGGTACTTGATTACCTAATTGTCTCCCTTGGTAGGCATACATTAGGTACACATGCCTTACATTTGAATGGAAAGGAGTCCTGTATAATTTTAATATAGCTCAGAAACAAGGTAATAGCCAATAGGAAGCAGCCTTGGCCATTGAGCAAAATACAAAATAACTTTACAAGTTGCATCAAGAGGAAAATGAGTACTGACATAAGAAGCTCAAGCATTTTTTCTGCCAGTAATATTTAGGTCTTCTTCACAGGTAGAGTAAACGTGTCCTCAATAGCTTGAAAAAAAGTTGCAATCTTGTATGTAAAAAATCCCACTAGCATTGGTATCAATTCCAAGTGCATAGATCCAAATTCTGGAACAAGAATCCTGAAAATGAAACTATCCTGTTAGATGACAAAAACGAGGGTCTTATCAAGTGTCATAAGACTCACTAAATTGGGTTAATGAACAAATAGAAAAAATTTAGATTGATGGCTGATCATGGAGGTTCAACTTTCTCAAGAAGAGGAGTTCTCGACAGTTTAGCTTTTGTACCCTAACATGAATTTTGTGATTCTTACCTTGAGCTTGTAACCAAAAATTCAACTGATGAGAGCTCAGTCTCTTGAAAAGCTTAACCCAGAACAATCTTTTATCCACAAATTATTGAAAGGCCATCCCAGATAAACAAAAAACAGAAAAAAAGATAATTCCGCATGGCCATGTCCTTGTAGTACGAAAACAAGAAAAAACATAATTCATATGCTTGGTAACCTTGAATAGGACTCTAGGAAAATCTATAGGCGGATAAATATAGCTATTCGAGCGAAAGAGTAAATGATCCAATTGCACGCCTGCTTGAAGATTACTTACGAATTCCAACGATTGTAAATCATGACTAGTACAACAGGAACCAGTAATCTAGGCTGCCCAACAGCTCCCCTGCAATTAACATCCAGTAAACCTCTTTTAAGCCGTCAGAATTAGATAAAGTGATCATCTATCTAACATACTCGGTGAAATTGTGGTCTGATCACCATACTCAAACAAAATTGTTAAGGGCATCTCAACCTAGGCTAATATGTGCTCCTGCCAATTATCTTGGGTAATTATATTGCATATGGTTGCTATAAGGTTAGACATGAGTCACATGACAGAATAATTCTTGAAAAATGATTAATAGCATATTAAAAGCAAAATAGGATTAATCAACCAAGATTTGAAGTCTTAATGACAGGAACTAAAATGCCCAGTTATATTGTGGGTCTAGCGAAGAAATTAAAATCTGCAAAGTGATTCTATCATCTACACATTACTTGACAAGGCCCTTCGCACCATCTGTTTTCAGTGAGTCCACGCTACTACCCAGCATGCGTATATATACCAACGAACCAAGCAATCCAGCACCAAAGCTGAATATATGAAAGATAACACGCATTAGAAATCATGGATAGAAAGTAGCACACGCAGCTTTATTGTGAACAATTCAAGATCTTCTGAAATATCAGCTATTGAATGTAGCTTTGCCTTCCACCAGTATTTGTGTGTGTGTGTGTGTGTGTGTGTAACTAAAACCTGAGGAGCAATCCAATTGGTCTCTCAATGGTTATTCAAAAATATCCCCGGGAGTTTTGGATATTAATAATCTCAAATTCACTAGCACCATTCAGACCAAAAAAGAAATTCACTGGCCCTTTAGAGAGGAGTTCAGGTTAAAGCCAAGCAGTAACTCTGGAAGAACAAACAAATTCACAAGCCCCCCCCCCCTTTTTTTGGGTTTGCTGATTCTAGTACAGGGGAACTGGAATGGATTGGGGAGGCCCCCCGGGGGCAGAAAAAAATTGATTTTGGAAGAAAAAAAGAAGAGATTTGTCTCCCCATAATTAGTCTATTGTCCTCCCTTTCACTCTGCAAATCAAATACATGAAAGATGTATTCACATCCCTTTCACATTAAATTTCCAGACATCGGGAGCTAAATATTCAACCTTCCATTTCATTTCCTTCCATTTTGGTTTTTACTTTAAAAGCCTCTATAAAAGGTGAAATGTTCTATCATAATAAGAAATGAATGAGCAGTTAAAATATGCTTGGTTCAGCCCATCAAACCTTTGGCTCTTTTATTTTTTCTGAAGAAAAAAAAATTCTGGCTTGTTGCTGACAGTATTTTGCTTTCACCTATCAAGTCATGAGTTTTAACAGCACCATTGAACCACAAATATGCTTAGTTCATTCAACATACAGCAGATGCCAGCATGTGTAAGAGTCAAGGAATTATTATAGATCATGTTTACTGGATGGGCGTTGGTTCTATTAAACTGAAGTATAAATTGTGCCATAGGGAAAGCATAGGTGAAAGATACATTTACAATGAACTCAAAGGGGAAAACTGATTAGATGCATGGAGACATAAGTACCTAGCTGCCACCTCAGCAGAATAAGAAGCATAAGCAGATACCAGACCCACGCCACCTATCCCCAATGTGAGGATTTGTAACTTCTTTTTCAACTGGAAAAAAAAAATAATATGCTAAATAAAATAATTAACAATTTGATATGTAATCAGTGTCAAAATGGAGAAGGTAACCAGCAAATACGAACATACAATGCTATTGACTACCTTATCATACTGCTCTTGAGATTGAGCAGCCAATACTTCTGGGTCTTCACGAGACTGCCTTATTTCCCTAAGCATCACATCCTGTATATAAATTTGACCAATATTAGAAAAGAAGAATGCAACTAAAATTTTACTATAGATGCATGCACTGCCAACTGTCTTTTGTTGGCTCTAAAGTAAAATATTGATAGAGTTTTACGTCTTACAGCAGCAAACATTTCGTGGTTAGTTCCAGAAGCTGGAAGTTGAAATGATAGCAAACATTACTTACACTGCCACCAGTTGCAGCCTTGGTAGCTCTATCCCATTTGTCTTGCTCACGGCGTGTTGGTGCCAATCTCCATCTTACTCTCTTGCTTTCAGTGATCTGATCACCATATAATTTGAAAGGACCAGTAAAATCATATGAACATGTAGGTGTGATACATTCAATAAAATCCATAAATATAATGATCAGCTTAAAGTCCAGAGAAAAGTCCCTTACTTCAGTTGCTGCCTCAACTGGTTGGTCTACAAATCTTTTTGCAGGAGCTGAGAGTTCTTTGCTCAAATCAACTTCCAAACTGGTAATATAATCCAGTTAAAGAATAGAAAATAAAATGCAACCACAATTGAAAATTTGATTTAGCCTATAGTGGAATAAGACCTGTCAAGGCTCATGACTCTATTTAAGCTCAGAAATCCAGATGGCTCTTCCTATTTACAACAAATCTTGTTGATGTTAGCCAACTCAAAAAAGCACAAGCAAACAGTTAGTAGTTAATTGGAAAAATTTACTAAAGCTTCCATAATCACCAAGGAAAGAGAAACAAAACTTACGAATTTTAATGTCTGCCATTGTAAAAGCCAAGGTGAACTCACAGTCAACCAACAGCAGTAAGGAAAAGAATTCTAAATACACAAAACTAGGTGGACCTCCCATACATTACATAGACTTTGATAAATAAAGAATTCCGTTCTTGATATATTGATATTGATTTTTTTGCTAGTCAGACAGACTTTTTTCTAGCACATCCATAATGTGTGTTTAATGTAAAACCACACTTACATAGCATGACAAGATTTTGACCAGCTAGCTGTAGTAAGTAAAATATTTTTATCTCATAAAATAGACAACGTTACAGAAGACAAGATTAAGTGCCATTCTAAAAGGACTGAATTATAAAACTTATTTCATCGATCCCATTTCAAATGATTCCAAGAACAGTGTTGGTCTTTTTTATTTCAATGGAGTATGGGCAATTGAGTAAATACCCACGGAGAGCCCTCAGAAATCAGAATAATTAGCCAGAAATTACTTCCCACAATTAAATTGCGGAGGCAACCCACAATATAAATAAAACAGAATCGACACAATACAAAGACACTCAGATGGCAAGTGACTGAGAGTAAAGCGAATATATTAGGGACCTGCGCAGGAGTTGCTTCAATAGAAGATTCAGGTTCCTGAATCATCCTTTTAAACCGATCCACAAAGTTTTTGTTC